CCAAGGGTGTGACTGGCTTTTTAACGCTGTGGGGCTTGAATCAGATGGGAGCCAAGTCAAGCCTCATAGCGCCAGGAAAAGACAGCTGGCAGGGGGAGTTAATTCACTTGCCACCATCTCGACCATTTGACCTCTTTCCCTTTTGACAAGGGGACAGACCCTTTGAGAGTACACTTGTGCAGATGCTTCTTCAAAGGGGTACCTGTTGGGCATCACCTGCCTACACAGCTGCCCCTTTAAAAGAGCAGCCACATGAACAAGTGGGGCATCACTCATCTGTGTCGGTGCTTCCTTTGAGGGCGCAGCCACATGGGTGAGTGAATGATCACTCACCTGAGCGGCTGTACCTTCATATTGACAATTTCACCACGTAATAGTCACCATTGTGTAATAGTCACATCTCTCTTTTCCCCCCAAAAAGGGGGAGGTTGCTGCTATTATGTGATAAAATACAGCAGAGTTTGGCTTATGGCAACCTTCAGGTAAACCTATCATGCAGACTTTTTGACAAGATTTTTCAGAGATGATTTGCCTTGCTTTCCTCTGATAGGAGAGAAATTGACTTACCGAAGGTCATTGAATTGATTTCCGTGGCTGAACAGGGATTCAAACCTGGTCTCTAGAGTTCTAGTCCAACATTTGAACAATTACACCATACTGACTCTGTATAGTAGCTTACAAATTAAATTGCAAGATTGCTAAGAATGTATAAAAGATTAACATTAAAGCAGAATTAAACTATCAACAGCATTTTAAAACAATTGAAAACATTCAATTTTAAAATAATTGTTTAAAAACAATTTTAAACAATGATAAAAAGTAGTTTTTAAAAATAGTTTAAACAGTCCAGAACTATGTAATTTTTGTACCATTTCCAAAATACATTCTCTCATATATATATATATATATATAGAGAGAGAGAGAGAGAGAGAGAGAGAGAGATGCTAACAGTGTAATAGACTGTCGTCTGCCTTTGGACTGAATTCAAAAATAATATGCCAAGAGTTTTAGTGTGGAGGAAAAGCTCACACTCTTGTCTAAAATGTTGATGAAGAATAAGAGAAAATCGATATTCTGAGAGGATGACAGCTGTCATTTATGTCACTAGCTGGTTGCCTAGAGAGAAAACAAGGCTATCCCTGTTATCATACCTCTGTAGCTGCAACCTTGTTAATGCAGTAAGCTGGTACAACTGTCTGGGCATAAGCAGTGGTGGTAGGAGGAAAAAGCCAGCAAGCAAAATTTGATGAACACAGAATAAAATGAACAGGAAAAAACACTGGACCCATGTCTCAAGGTGCTCAATAGGTGAATAGATGCATTCATTTAACTTCTTGAGGTGTGTCTCCCTTTCATTTCTCCTGGAAGAAGGAAAAAGGCTGCAACTATTGCAGCCCCGGGGAAGTAAGATGCTTGGAGGTACTTAATTTAAAAAGGAGTTAATTCCTTTTCCTCATCACTGCTGCACAAAATGTGTAGCCACTGCAGGATCTGAGATCTGCCAGGGAGGCCCTTCTCTCAGTCCCACCTCCGTCCCAAGTATGGTTGGTGAGGGTGAGAGAGAGGGCCTCAGTGGTGGCCCCCCGGCTCTGAAATACCCTTCCTAGAGAGATTTGGCTAGCCCCCACTTTCCAAGTTTTTTGTTCTAATCTGAAAACATGGCTTTTTAAGCAGGCCTTTTAATGGTTAGACTCAAGGACTTAGTGATTTGCCTCATTCCGGCACTTTGGACTGATACTTGAAGACAGCCATTTTTATTCGAAGGCACTGTTGCATTCTATGGAATTTAAAATCTTGTTATGTGATGTTTTTATGAGAAATTGTTATGTAAATTTATGTTATGCTCAGTTTAATATGCTTATGTATTGTGCATTCTATGTGTGTGGCATCTCCTTAGGGGAGATGGTGGTGAGATATAAATAAAATTGTTATTATTGTTGTTGTTGTTGTTATTTTATAGTGGATTAGCTATGTCAGGTAGCACATGCTGCATATTGGAGAGTAGACAAAGCTTTGGCCAACCCTGAGGCCACTAAATTGGCCTGATCCTATCATCTGCATTGGAGGACACTGTCTTGCTACTAGGGTTGAAGTAAGGTTCTAGCCATGTTTGCACATGGGGTGGAGGGTGACATTGTCTTCTCTTTCACCTCAGGCAGTAAAACATCTTGGGAAAGCCCTGGGAGAAACAAAATACATATGGGAGATATGAAACCATAAGTCTTCTTTGGCGTAAGAGGTATCCAAGACTGAAAATGCATTGGCTATGCTGGCTGGGAATTCTAGGAGTTGCAATCCATAAAGAAACTTTTCCAAGTTCTGAGGACTTGTACTTGTCTGTGCTAAACACCACAAAAAGCATTTCTTTGTGCCAGATGCCCAACTGTGGGTACCCACACAGTTAACATACACCCCAGAAAAAGACATATTCCTCCCCCTTCCCCTTGCAATGATATATATGTCACCCACTGACCTTGGTGGGTTTCTTTTCATTCACCCAGGCAACCCTCACAAATTAACACTCGCATAAACTCCTGGAAATTCTTTCCCCTCCACTCACATATGCCCTTTTAATTCGTCCCAGCTCACTCCAGCCATTCTTGAGAGATGAAGGGAACAAAAGGATTCTTCCCTGAATCCTTTGTTAAGGGCATCCCAGGTTTAGCTTTCATCTCATTCTGTTGGTTTAATAAATATCAAGCGCTGTTTGGAACGGCAACCTAAATCAGCACAGTAAAGCCTTTTCCCTGCCCGCTGGCATTAGCTGTGTTTGTCCAGGGTCAAAGCAGCAAAGAGGAGGAATTTGTTGCTGTAATCTTGTTTTGCTTTTTAGCCGTTGAGTGCAGAATGCATTAAAATTTTGTGCCAAAGCCTGATAGCAAAAAGTGTTACATCATTGGTCTCTTTGAGATTCCAACACCACCCTTAAAAAAATGGAGTCTACTTCAACTTTAAGCAGAAGTGAGTTCAGATTGCTTTTCCTGCTAATCAGAATAACTATTTTAACTGATTTTTTTTTGAAAGATTTGTTTCAATAATCTGTTTCTTAGCTTTTAAGTTAATGTCACATAGATTATGATGATTTTGCCACTTTAGAACTGGATAGATGAAATGTGCTGGGGAAAAGGTTGCCTTGCTATCATCCTAGCATTGGATGTTCATGAGATTTCAAAGTACAGAGGCTATATTTCCCTAACTCCACATCATCACTCTTCAGTACTGCCGTTGAGAACCAGAGATTTTAGAGCACGTGTCAAATTCAAGTCCATGGACCGAATCCGACCCGCTGTGTCATTTTATGCAACTCCTGTATTCCTTGTCGCTGATCCATGAGTTCATGAAGAGTCGGAAGCAACTGAACAAATAAACAACAAAAGCTATCATGACTAGAGCTAATGGCAATCGGGATACAGTAACAACTGAGAGACTGCTGTTTCTTCTGTTTAGTCAGGAGAGTGGGGTTTGGATTTCGATACATAGCTTGTGGTTAAAATGTGGCACTTCAAAATGTTCCTTAACCCTTCCCAAACATCAGAGCCACAAGTGCTGTAGAGTTGCAACTCCCATTAAGTAAAGGTAAAGGTTTTCCCTTGACATTAAGTCTAGTCGTGTCTGACTCTGGGGGGTGGTGCTCATCTCCATTTCTAAGCCACAGAGCTGGTGTTGTCCATAGAAGCCTCCAAGGTCATGTGGCCAACATGCCTGCATGAAGCACTGTTACCTTCCTGCAGAAGCAGTACCTATTGATCTACTTACATTTGCATGTTTTTGAACTGCTAGGCTGGCAGAAGCTGGGCCTCATAGCGGGAGCTCATCCGCTCCCCAGATTTGAACTGCCGACCTTCTGGTCAGAAAGTTCAGTAGCTCAGCTGCGCCACCAGTGGGGCCCACAATTCCCATTATCCCCAGATAAACAAAAGTGATAGGAGTTGTTATTCAGTAACATCTGGGGACCCAAATAGGGTAAAAACTAAAGATCACTGACTGATATGTAAACAAAATTATAGTTGACCCTCTGTTTCCATGAACTCTCTCTTCATGGATTCAGTGGCCCTTTGAAGGCAATCATAAGGCTGATGTGGCCCTCCATAAAAAAGAGTTTGACAGCCCTGTTTTAGAGGTTCTCATCCTCAGAGTATTCCATATCTTGAAAGCAGTCTTTCTTTAACTTTCATTGAGTTCTAAGGCTCCTTCTGCAGACATGAAATAAGCAGATCCTGAAACTAATTTGAGGAGAACTTTTTATACCTTTCTTACTGCAGACTGGAAATAAATTGAACAATTTTCAATTGTAAATTGACCATTGAAGAACAGTTTTTAATAGGGCACGCTATTTAATAGGGCACACTATTTCATTTGATAGTTTTATCTTTTTATCGGTTTTATCTTTTATTGTATTGTGTGTTTATTTTATGTGTTGTTTTAGGCATATTGTGCCATATGTATGCTGCCATGAGTCCCTTCGGGAGATGGAGGCGAGGCACAAAAATAAAGTTGTTGTTGTTGTTGTTGTTGTTGTTGTTATTATTAAAATGGCATAAAATTAATGTTTTATTTTTAGCTGCCTTGGATATCTCATTGAGAGAAAGGCAAGATATAAGTTAAATAGGTAGTTATAGTCAGACAGCTAGTCAGCTATTGATAAAGGAATTTTTACCATGTGAGTGCTCTGTTTACTTCGTCAATGTATTAGAAAATAGTATCAAATAACACTGTAATAAGTTGTGATTTTGTTTAATTGTATTTTAACTTTTGGGTGTTGTTTTTGTTTTAATTACATTTTGTTCAACATAGTTGTGACCAGTCCCATTTTAGAGGTAAAGGGAAGTACATATCTGAATAAATAAATAAAATAAGACCAGTACAGAACAGAACTTGAGCTTCCTTTTGTCAGTCCCTTTTGTGACTCTGCTTCCTTCCATGCAATTGTATTTTACTGACAGGTTAGTTAGCATAGCAGGTGGTTGTTGTTGAATTCTCTCTTTCCTTCTTGTTTCCAGGATTGTTCTTATGGATGATGCTGTAGACTGTTTGATGTCTTTTTCGGATTTCCTATTTGCCTTCCAAATCCAGTTTTACTACTCAGGTGAGCCCTTTATATGTTCTCTTGTCTCAGGCCACACAGCTGCAGTCAACTGGGCAGAAGCTACAGGGTTGGGCTAGAGTTTTGCTCAACAGTTTGAAATTCTTGAGACAAAATGACTCAAGGGACATGAAGTTGCAAATATATGAACCAGAGGATTACTTCAAACTCAATTGATTTACAGATCATAGCCCGACAAAAAATTTTTGGTGTCTTGGTTTTTAGGCCTGTTCCTAGGGTTATTTGGGGCACTGATCCACAAAATTGTATTGGATAGACCACATCAGCACAAGTTTCTTAGATATGGTTATAATTATTTTAAGCTAGTTTGCCCCAGTTATTTGAAAAAGTCAATTTTAATTGTACAAAATACATAAGGTTGTGGATTAAGTACAACTGACATCATGCCAGGTTAACCCCAAGAAACTCCATCAGTACTTAAAGTTTGTTATGTTGGGAAAGTGTGCTCTAGATGCATCATCGGTGGGGTTCAGTGTGCTCTCTGGCAGTGTGGTAAACTACAACTCCCACTATGGTGAGTCAGCCCCCTCAAACCCTTACAGTAGGTTCAGTTGGTAATGGGGGTTCTGTGTGCCAAGTTTGGTCCAGGTCCATCATTGGTGGAGGTCACAGTTTCTCTGGTTGTGGGTGAACTACAACTCTCAGAAAAGAAGGCCAGTTTCCCCCAGATTTCAACATATCAGGTATGCGTATCTGGTTTGGTCCACATCCATCAGTGTTTGGGTTCACAGTGCTCCCTGGATGTAGGTGAATTACAACTTCCCCAAATCAAGGTGAATTTTCCCCAAAGACCTCCAGTATTTTTTGCTGGTCATGGGGGCTCTGTGTGCCAAGTTTGGTCCAATTCCATCTTTGGTGGAGTTCAGAGTGCTCATTGATTGCAGATGAACTATATATTCCAGTACCTAAAATTCCAAAAAGTCCAGGCCAATTCCCCTCACAACCCACCAGTATTCTAATTTGGACATATCCAGTATGCATGCCAAGTTTGGTCCAGATCCATTATTGTTTTGGTTCATAGTGCACTGTGGATGTACGTGAACTACAACTCCTATAAAATCCCTCCAAAGACCTCCAGTATGTTTTGTTGGTCATGGGGTTCTGTGTGCCAAGTTAGTTCTAGGTCTATCATTGGTGGAGTTCAGAGTGCTCTTAGATTGCAGGTGAACTATGTATCCTTGAACCTACAACTCCTTTAAATCATGGTGAATTCTCCCCAAATCTCTCTAGTATGTTCAGTTGCTGATCAATTCCTCTGTTTGCTGTGTGCCATAGAAAGGAATAGGAAAAGATTAAGGGAGAGGCAGTGGGCGGAGTCATGTAAATTCCACACCAATGGAGAAAGTAAGAAACACTGGGATGTCTTTGGTGGAGGAAAATCAGAAAATCTAGGATGAAATTGTCCCCGTATGAAAGCCTTCACTTGGGTGGTAGGAAGTATAGCGTTTGTGGAGGACATTGGCAGGGCTCTTGGACATGTTTACAGCTCTCTCTATAATCTGCAGTGTCATTGGAGGGAGGGCCATTGGTGTCTCCAGAGTAGTGGAAGTTATAGCTATTTGTGGAATGGGGGCTTGTCTGTGTAAGTGGATACCCGAGCCACACACAAACATACATAATTTCACTTTTATTATGTGTACAAATGGGCGGGCAGATGAAGACAATTACATGGCATACGTTTTGCATCCTAAAAACTAGAGCTGATAGGGGGAAACTGGTGCCATTTTTGGAATCAGCAGGTCAAATATACCTGGAAAGACACCTAACATTTGAAGCACCCAAATGTGTGTTGACCAGTGTAATGCTTCCATGGAAGATAAAGCATAAACATCATGTGTGAACATTGGATACCTGTCTGGTTCCTTTGTGTCTTTATATATTTAAGTCATGTCTGTGATGTCTTTTATGGTAAACCCTTATAAAGCAGCTTAATGAAAAAGCTTAAGTAAACAAAACATCTGAGAAATATCTCCATTAAAATAGTATCAGACCGTAAGCCAATCTTGGAACTTGGGCAAATTCTAGTTTCAGCCCATGTTCTCCCGACCTACCTTCAGCAGCATCCCATACACTCATTCCACTGCCAACCTTCCCATATTAAGTGGGATATTCCAAAGGGGAATTATAACTGTGTTCGGCTAAACAATCGTAGAAACCTCCCTGTAACCTGTCATCCTGATAGTGCTGGGTGGAGGCGGAAAATCCACTTTTCAGATTGTGACTTCATTCCAGCTAATCACAAGCCCTGGTTCCATGATTCAGGAAGAGGTCTAAGCACATTCTGTTGAGCATTTAAACTTTTCTTTTGGAATGAAGGTCTGCATGCTGTGGAAATTGCTTATACACACTCCTGCTCTCCAGGGGGAGGAATACCCCTCCCACTCATCCCAAATCCCCAGTTCTTTAGTGGGAATGTAAATAATAATTGTTGAACCAATTAATCAAAGGCACAATGGAGCAACCAAGTTTTTAGGTCTTTCTGGAAAGTGGACAGAGTGGATGCTAATCTAATCTCTCTGGGGAGGGAGTTCCAGAGCTGGGGGGCCACCACCAAGAAGACCCTCTCTCTCGTCCCTACTAACGGTGCTTGTGATGGAGGTGGGAGCGATAGAAGGGCCTCCCCAGCAGATCTTAAAGCTCGTGCAGGTTCATAGTGGAAGATGCAATTGCAAAGATAAAACCATACTAAAAGGCATATCAATAGACAGTAACCACATATATTGATCTTTATATAGTTTTCACACCTCCTTCATCAATAGAAGTCGTATAAAAGTAATCTGAAAAATGCAAAGCAGGCCTGACCTTTTAGAAAGCATTTCTGTTTCTGCTTGTAACTTAGTAAAAACAAGAGGCTGAACAAGGGCAATAGGGGCTATCTCGTGAGAATCCTTCCAATCACAATTTAAGTTGTGATAATCATGTGCAAATGCTTATTTGTGTCATACTGTTTCTGAAAATGGATTTGTGCTCAGTTTTTTGCTTAAGACTCATTCTCAGAAGCAGTCTTTCTGTTGGGTTGTTGTAGGTTTTTCCGGGCTATATGGCCATGTTCTAGAGGCAATTTTTCTCCTGACGTTTCGCCTGCATCTATGGCAAGCATCCTCAGAGGTAATGAGGTCTGAGGATGCTTGCCATAGATGCAGGCAAAACGTCAGGAGAAAAATTGCCTCCAGAACATGGCCATATAGCCCGGAAAAACCTACAACAACCCATGGATTCCGGCCATGAAAGCCTTCGACAATACATAGTCTTTCTGTTGTTCGTCTGGAGAGGGATAAAATCTAGCATCATAGCATTTAATACCTTCTTTGTAGGATTTGTCCCCACTTCAATTACACAGAATGTCATTCGTGAGCAAAACTAGCAGGAGAATAAAGGAGGGACTATTTTATATAGGTATCATACTTGAAAAGTTGCTAGCCATCAAAACTTCCTTAACTGGACACCATTCCTTTGTGTACGTATTCCAGGCTGTTGGGTCATGTGTAGAGTTCTGCAGATCCAAACCACAGAACCCCATGCCCATTCTTCTTTCCATTAACTACACTCAGCCCTTTTCCATGCTACCCTACCGACCCACATGGACACAAACCACTCTTGAGTGGAATCTACATCTGTAAATGGCACGCCAGGTCCATAAACAGTCTTGTTTAAATTTAGATTCTAGGAATAAACAGCAAGGGAGGCTTGGAGTCTGGAGGAGAGTGCTTTTGGCCAGTTTCTCCCCTCATCTTTCCCTTTGGGCCCCATGTTGTATTTACTTTGGAACTGTACTGAAGAAGACTGGGATGCCGACTGGAGCCTGCAGAATCCACCTCCTTTGGCTTCCCAACAATTCTAAACAGTCCTGTTTCTGACTCCGTCGTGTTTATCTCTGTGACCACAGAGGTTTGCGTGTTTATGACACTACTCTGATTGGGTGGCTTTGACTTTCACTTGCCTCCTTAGAATCAACAAGGAAAGGAACGAAAATAGTCTAATTTAAACCCTTGGTCAAAGAAAAAGATTGACATAGTCCATCCACAAGGCCCTTAGAGATCAACCTTTGTAAACCTTGTGTGGACTTTTTTTGTCCCATCTTGAATTTGAAACAACATCTTGAATTTGTTACTAGACTATATCACTGTGAGATCTGGGAGCATCTCGTTGCATAGCAAGGCAAGTCAAATCGTATTCTTTCATACCATCTGTGCTGTCAAGAGGATTTCATGGGTGCATAGTTGCAAGAATCATAGAATCATAGAATCAAAGAGTTGGAAGAGACCTCATGGGCCATCCAGTCCAACCCCCTGCCAAGAAGCAGGAATATTGCATTCAAATCACCCCTGACAGATGGCCATTCAGCCGCTGTTTAAAAGCTTCCAAAGAAGGAGCCTCCACCACACTCCAGGGCAGAGAGTTCCACTGCTGAACAGCTCTCACAGTCAGGAAGTTCTTCCTCATTTTCAGATGGAATCTCCTTTCTTGTAGTTTGAAGCCATTGTTCCGTGTCCTAGTCTCCAGCAAAGCAGAAAACAAGCTTGCTCCCTCCTCCCTATGGCCCCCTCTCACATATTTATACATGGCTATCATATCTCCTCTCAGCCTTCTCTTCTTCAGGCTAAACATGCCCAGCTCCTTAAGCTGCTCCTCATAGGGCTTGTTCTCCAGAGCCTTGATCATTTTAGTCACCCTCTAAACTAAACTAAACTAAACTAAAAAACTAAACAAAAAAGAATAGAAATTGTATCAGTTTGTTTCACAACCCATAATATTTTAGGCTAGGTGACTTTCACCATGTAGGCTGATGCCCATAATTTCTATGTTATTGTTCAGAGTTCCTGGAAAGTGTGGCTGCAATTTATCAAGAACTCTTGACGGGTAAGAATCCCAACACCGTCATTGTGCCAACGTCATCCTCAGGGCAGCATCGTTCACGCCAAGCTCTGACCGAGAGCAGCCCTCTTGATGGGGTGGAGGCATCTGCATTTTACCAGTGCCTTGAGTCTCTATGTGACCGGTCCAAGTACAGGTAAGGTGGATGCTGGCCAAGTGGCTTGCCTTGCTTTGTATCATCAGCTGTCATTCTGCTTCCCGACACAAGGAAAATGGTACTGTATATGTTTATATGGATATCAGAAATGAAAGTACTGGCTAATATTGGCCAGATTTGTGAAATGTCCTGCCTTAGTTTTCTTCTTTGGACTTACTATCTATGTTACATTGCTGCACAAATGCTGAGGCCAGAAATGAAACCTTTAATATTTTATGGAGAAGAGTGTCTCTGAGAAGAAGCAAAGTATTGTTCCCCATTACTTAGTAGCCATAGTCTACTGACAAATATCAAGAATGAGAAGCAAAAACCCTCAATTTGGAAGGAAGTGTATATTGTCTACAGATACTTTTTCCTTTTTTGTACTGTTTTTATTTATTTATTGTATTAGAAACGAACCAAGAGTACAGTTGTGATGTATTTAAAAACACAAAGTTTTTAAAACTTGGCATTATACTAAATGTCCTTTGACCAGTAGCTGGCCACTTGGAGTGCCTCTGGTGTTGCTATAAGAAGGTCCTCCATTGTGCACGTGACAGGGCTCAGACTGCATTGTAATAGGTGGTCTGTGGTTTGCTCTTCTGTACACTCACATGTCGTGGACTCCACTTTGTTGCTCCATTTCTTAAGGTTCACTGTGCAAGGTTGGCTCTGCCCGAGCGCAGTCTGTTCAGCACCTTCCATGACACCTAGTCTTCTGTGTGCCCAGGGGGGAGTCTCTCATTCAGTATCAGCCATGGAGGCTGCACCATGGCAATCATAATATGCTAAGTGTGCCATCCGTTGCTGGTATTTTATTTTGGTTCAATTCTCTATATTGTATTCTTGTTCATTTGTCCATACATAGCCAAGAGAGAGTGAAGAATGAGAGGGAGAAAGTAAGAAAACACACACAAGCACATATACACAAAAACCCACAGAGAATATTTTCTTTGAAATGTAAGTCAGTTGAAGAAAGTAAAAACTTGGTGGGCACCTTAGCACCAGGAAAAGGGGAAAAAAACTAAACAAAAAAAAACCCCTTTTATCTTTTAACTGTTACTTTTACCATGTGTTTGTAATTGAGTAGTCTATTGATGAATGAAACCACGGGAGTGCTTTGAGGAGAAAGCGTTCTCATTTCGGGTCCTGTTTGGAAGCATTCAGATCTACAGTTATCCAAAAAGTAGGATGGAATCTCACAGTGGTTTCATACATTAAATCTAAATTACCAGAATGCTCATGAGATTTGTTGTCATGCACATTGCTACTTCCACAAAATCCCCAGTGACTGCAAAAAATCTGGGAGAGTTTGGCATGTCCATGGCTTTCTCTGTAAACATGCTAACCTATTCCATATGTCATTTGCAATACAAGAATTGCTGGTAGAAGTTTTTAGGTACCATAAAACCAGGAGAGGCAAGGGATGCCCAGCTAAGAAAGAAATCCAATTGTCTTTAGGTCTTATGGAGTTTACAGGTGTATCTTGAAACACGGGACCATTGTACTAACTGATGCCACATTGCTATATTTTCCTGTATTGCTCTTTGTTTGTCTAGCTGTCCCCCATCGGCTGTTATCAAGGAAATTCTGAGCAGCATGCAGAGACTGACATTCTATGAATTTCTGATGGCTCTTGCAAAGCATCAAGGGATCAACAGAGCTGTTGGTAAAGAAATGTCTCTTCCATTATTATGTGTTGGATTATATAGAAATGATGGCTGGTTTTTAATATCTCTACCGTTTTCAGGATCCCACTATCCTACGAGTACAGTGTAGAGGCATTGTAGAAAAGTGCTTTGGGAACAATGAACCTATGATGGCTCAAGCAACAAACCCAGGCCTCCTGGTACCAAGCAACACAGAGGAATCACTTTCAGAATTATCTTCATTCTTTCTCGATGTTTAATAAATTCTTCAAACATTACATTTTAGGTGTCATAGTAGTGCATCATAACAGGGCAAGTGTGACATCTAAAAAAGGGATGTTTAAGTATTTAGAATCCTTAAATGTTTACCTTTTCTGCCTCAATTCTTCCAAATTTAATTCTCGATGCAGTCATTTCAGGGCCCAATCATTTGGGGAACTGAGTATCAGCTCTACAAGCATGCAGCAGATGTGCATGACTATGGTTGGCCAGTTCCTGCGATGTCACCATGAAGTCTCCCTCTGCCTTTAGAGGTTTTGCACATTCAAAAGTTCAAAGTTCAAAAAATCTTTATTACCGTCATATACTAGCATAAGGAGAGTGAGGTACAGTCTCATAAAAGTATTGCACATTAAAAATAGATATGATTCACAGAGAGATATTGCATCATAGATTTGAAAGGGACCCTTAAAGAAGGACAATGATATGTTGCATGTTCCAAGGTGGGCAAACCAGACACTCTCCACATCAACACTGACAAGAAACAGCAAGAAATACTGTTTACCCACAAGCATAAAGAAATTACATATTTTAGAAACCAATACTTTCTCATTACTTTATTTTCCAGATCAACAGACTGGGACACAGCAACGCGGGGCGGGGGACAGCTAGTCATATCAATGAAAACACTGCCCAATATACTTTTCCAACTAGGTTTGGTAGTATTTGGGGGGATGTTGCTGGGGATTGTTACTGATCCTTTTGAATGTAGCTTTGAACATGCAGTCCCGAGTGCTCCCTTTTTTGGACATTGCAAACGGCCGTCCAGAGCTGCTGGCTGTTGCTTTGTTGTCAAAGCAGAATGTCATCATCACAACACAGACCAGTGTTGTTCTTCTCCGCTTCCCGGTGCCCCAGGCCCCTACTGACCATTTGAGCTGCTAATGCTGTCCTGATGGAGGCCTGTTTACCCAGCAGCACCACATAGATTATATATCAAAGGGGACATGCAGACAAGCCTGCAATCCCCTTTGCAAACAGGCTTAGAGAGCAGTGCTTTTACGGGCCGCCTGGATTGCACCCAGCCAGGCTTTTCTTCCTGGTTTCTCGCAAATTTCTCTTCCAGCAAGGTGCAAAGAAAACAGATGGGCTGAGAAAGCCCTGCCCACCGTGCCATGTACAAAGTGCATGGGTTTCCCCTTCCATTCAGGAAGGCCTGTCCTCCTGGCCCACCGCCAGTCTCCTGCTGAGGCCTCGCGGAGGGAGGGGCAGCTGCCGCAAGTCGAACAGGTGCTCTCTCCCTGGCACGGCAAGGCAGATTCTTCTCTTGGTGCCTTTTCATCTTCCCTGCTGCACGCAGGCTGATTTGAATAGGCTTTGGTCTGCGGGGGATCACAGGCTCCCCAAAGCCCTGCAGCGAGGGCAGTTCCAGGCGAGAGCTTCAGAGCGGGAAGGGGTTTTCAGGCAGGGGCCCACGCTTCCTTGAGTCTCAGCAGGGCCGTGAAAGGGAAGAGCAGGCTGGGGATTAGCACAGGGCTGTGATGAGTGTGTCAGGAGGATTGCAGTGCCCAGCCTAAAGCCTGTGTCAATATTGATTTGTCAGCCCTCCTTAAGTATTGTTTGCCAATGCTCCCAAGAGATTGGAGCACCCTCCAGGTCTTTCGATCCTCCTTACAAAGGCACGGACTAGGCTAGTACTGGGATGGGTTCATGATAGTGAGACAGAGGGTGCCTAACAGTGAACAATGGCTTATGGGGCTCCTGTGACTTAAGACCAGCGGCATGCCCTCAACCAGCATTGCCAAGGGTCTACAGAGAGTGCACGAAAACACAGTTAAGTGCCAGGTGGGAAAGGTCCAACCAACAGTTTGGCTACAGATGGAGACATGGTTGTGCCCTTTGACACCATCCTTCCTATAGGAAAATCCAGCCTGCCCCCCAAATGACTTCCAGAGTTGGGTTTAAAGAGTGAACAGCTGTGGCCCCTCCAGAGTCTTTGGCTTACAGCTCCCAATATCCCTAACCAGCAGACTTCACAATGGGGAAAATGCAGCAATGATGAAAAGAAGTAATTTGTCAGTGAGCGGGATAAATGTGGGCCTACAAAGTCTGTTATTTTTTGAGGCAGGCTGACAAACATGCCCAAAAATTAACTGATTGCTGTCATATGGAATGAAGTGTATGATACACTGCACAGATAATTGTATTTGAACCACCAACCCTGTTACGAACAATTCAGTTGAAGAGCAAAGATATACACAGTTTGTACTTCTTGTATGTGACCATTGTTTTGGCTCAACATTGATCCTTTCCTTCCAACTGTTTTCTAGGAGCCCTCCCAGACAAAGCTGAGCTGCTAGTTGACCCACTTATGGATCAGGAACTAGAGAAACTGTAAGTTACTTTAAAGGTTTAAGTAACAAGGGCAATGAGCAATATAGTATCACATTTTCTTTAATCTGCTCACAAAGCAGAGGTGTGGCTGAGCAGCCAGCCACTATCTCTCTGTGGTTATTATAACACATCACTAGCAAAAGGGTAGGTATGAATCCTGGAAGAAGAGCTACATAAACTACAACATCTACAGGGGGCTTGGACTGGGCAAAATGTCATTCCAGGTGTTGGAATATGACATAACCTATGTCATTAGTTATGCTGGTTGAGACAGTTGAGAGGAAAATTTAAAAGAAATTATTTTTCTCCTCTTGATAACTGATATGGTGTTCTAAAGAAGCATAGATGACATTGTCGGCATATTTCACCCCAGTATTAACTGGGGACACCTTTCTTACAATTTCACTTACTTTAAAAGTATTGTAAAACCCTATATACTGTAGCTTGGTTCTGACTGAACACTACTTCACATAGAAGTGTGCCCACTTTCAAAGGCATGTCTGATGGGGCAGAAGACTAGGGCTAGTGGTTGCCCCTGGACTCTATACTAGACTACTGACTATTTAGTGAAGAGCAGTTTGGGGAAGAAAAGTTCATGGCTTAAAGAAAAAAAGATGTCTTTACATGCAAAGATCGCTATGTGGCCGAGAACTAAGTGCCCTTCCTCCATCACCACCCCGAGTGTTAACAGTTCTTTGCTCCTCTTGCCGCATTCTACTTCAGAAAGAATGCATGTAACCAACATCAAACCTTTTTTCCCTGGCATATTATTCTTTCAGAATAACCCAAGTATCAGGGCTGTCTCTATCCAATTCTGCTAATGCTAGTGGGGATAATGCAAACTTGCCTTCCCGACCTCCTTCCCGGATCAGCTCCCCATGGAGGCCTCTCCACCATCGCAGGAAAATGGATGCTGAAAGTGATGGCTCCACAGAAGAGACAGATTCCTCTGAGAACTGATGAACAGCATGGGAATGTGCTCACTCATTCCAGGTCATTGTGATCAAAGTAACGTGGGCTTTGAAGAAGAGGGAGAAATAGGAATGCATGTACTTCTTTCTCCACCCAGTCGCAAAACATTACTCATAAATCTCCCTCTTAAGAAGCCTGACCCTCTCTGCTTAAACAGAAGTTCCCTCTTGTATAATACTGGTAAAGGAATACTCGCTTATGTACTGGGTAGACCTTAAATACAGCTGATTACAACTGCAGGGTTTTATTGCCCTCTTGTGGCAAACAAATTAGTTTTTCTTGCCCTACAGCCAGAGTGTGTCTTATTTTCAGCTTTGAAAAAATTAATCCAAATCCTGAAACTGTGCTCCATACAGCATTTCTTCATCCTCAACCAGGATAGAAGAAAACCTGATCAGGATTCGGCATCAAACATGTAGCCATGATGTTGTAGCAGCTCTACTTTGTCTCCATTTGAGCCCTGAAGCCCACCTTAAAAGCTGGTCAGCCAGAGAGAGCAATAGGGAGACTGTTCTCCTGGCAAGTCCTGAAGGATGATGTGACCGGCTCTCACCCATCAGTGAAGTAAGCTGCAGTTAAGTTATAACAGCCCCCTGCAAAAGGTGTTTTCTTCGCTTCTCAGAGTGTCACTTACTGGAGGTTGTTGGTCATTCATCCAACGGTGCCCCCATTCACTAGCAGTAGAAACCTTTCTTGCTCCAGACAGCTGGTTTTTAAGGTGGGTTTCAGGGTCATTTCTACTTGTAGCAATAGAATTACAAATGAGAACATAAACCTACCAATGTCTAACTTACAATGTCAACCTGTTTTTAAGAACATAGCACCTTGACCCTTGCTATCTAAATAGGTTTACTGTAGTTTTTCTGTATGTGACATTTCCTATTTACTCTGACACCTTCCAGAAACTCAGTTCTATTTAAGACAATGTTGCATGATCTTTGCAGGACATCTAGCTAAGAGAATTCTGTGCGATTGATAATTTTCAGCCCATTCTTACTGGCCTTTGTTTAGGAGACAATGGTAGAACATTATTTATTATTACTTTCTAAAACATTTAAATGTGAATGTGAACTATAATAAATAAAGCATGTTGAACAAAGGAAGTTGTCTGATTTCTTCCACCGCCCAAAAAGGAGAGGTGCAATCCCACCTTGAAGGTAATATGCTCTACGCAGGATAATAATTATGGGAGAAATTTAAAGTTGTATCTTAGTGGAGTAGAATGTTTTCCAAATCGCTTCCACATAATTATCACAAACTATCGAATATTTAGCCTATTACCAGATGGTGAACTTTGTCCTCCTCCCTTTAACTTGCTCACCCATCCTTAATGTATAGGAAATCAAGTTCCTGTTTCTATAAGTCAAGGAATGGCTTTCAGAACTACATAGGAAGAAATGAACAGCCACAGTGATTGAACACACAGGTATTTGATTTTATTCACTTGAGGGGTTGAGGGGGAAACCTACATCACTCCCCTTCAGACCCCCACACTGCAGAGGCCCAACCCTGGCCACACAAAGCTCATTAATACTACCATTAACTCAAAGTACATGAAGCCCAAGAAGAGAACCCTCTTCCCATCTCAGAATAGACAGCAATGGGCCAAACTGAAGTTCTGCAACTCTTTTGCCCAGGAAAGGAGCAAGTACTTTAAGACAAATTTGCAATAGTCAAACAGTGCTTTTTCAGAACTGAGGGAGCAAAAACTGAGAAGTGGAGCGGAGCCTAGGAGATTTCCAGCAAATCCATGCAGACATTTACCTTCTTAGGAAGCACAAGAGGAGGTCAACTGCACTAACAAATACTAGTGAATATGAAAGTGGGCAACATGCCGTTTCTTCAAAAAAAAGGTCAAGCCACACTGGTAAGCTCACTTCCTTCTCCAGCCAGGGGATCTTACTGAAATCCCTGATATTGCTCCACTGCACTGCTAGTGGTCACTCTCCCATTTCATGGTTTCGTACTCCATGGAATACAGCAGACTGATGAAAGCTTCAAGATGAACTCACAACTGCATGAATCATGCAATGTTAAGTGCAAAATGGTTACAACAGCAAGCTCCGTTTCACATGGACTTAGTGCTCCAGTGCATTGAGAATATTCCACTTACAGTGGAAAAGTATAACCAACTTCAAGATAGGATAAAGCATGCAGACGCAACAGGGTGCTCTCGGGGTAGAATACTTCCCCCCAAGTGGGAAAGCAGCCTTGTAGTATGGAAAGGGGCACTAATTTTAAACCTGCTTCAGCTCCTCTTTCACTAACGGAAGTGGAACTGGTTTGAGAAAAATCCCAGAATTCTAGGTTAGAAGGAGCAAAGGGACAGCGATCAATCTTGAAAAGGAGAAGCGTTTCTTTCCCTTCCTCACGCAAGCACACAGAAAGGCTGTGACATCCAGGCAAGTCAAAATTCAGAGAGGGCAGAGAAGCAATGGTTGCATGATGGGAACAGTGTGCAAGTGAGCAGAGTGAGAGATATAAACCCGCTCATTTCATTCTCCATTTCCTTAAAAGATCTAAAAAAAAAAAAATCAGAAACTACCAATGAGGCAAAGCAGTCGGTTACATGAAATGACACATCTGATGATCGCCCCTCCTTCCCACTGAAGAGACTCCTTCCATGGCGATGTGGTGCCGTAGTGGGGTATAATTCTCCAGCCATTGCCATGGTTGCACAATACTGTGAGGATTTTCTAAGCCCAAACATGTCATGACCCGTTACTGCTTGTTTTAGGTTTTGTCCTCATAGTCCTCAAAAGGGCTACGCCTGTCACGTTAGTTCAAAGAAGCCGTAAGAATTATCTTAGGCAGAAGTGGGAACTTCCCCTTGTTCTAGAGGACAGCCTGGATGCTAGGGACTTCCCCAGCAGTGCACTGCTTACTGCCCTTTCTCCCAATGCAGAAGTGTGAAGTGTATTAAAGACGACCTCCTGCTTCCACAACATGCATTACACCAACAGCAACCAGGGAACAGTTTAAAAGCGCAAAGAGTAGCTCCACCGTGGCCCAGCGTCAGTGGCACAACCACAGAGGGATGTTCTCTGGAAGGACCCATGAACTCCATTGACTGGAAGCTGGATTTTGAAAGAATATTGTGTCTATTACAAAACAATGTCCATAGAGGTTTTGAGCAAATGCCAGCCATGTCCATTTCTCCTTCTGTTCTCAAGCAGCCCCCAATCATGCTCAGCTGAAAAGTAATCCTGTTGAGATTTTTCCAGGTGAGCTCAAGGTGCAAGTGGTGTTTCACCAGCAGCTATGAGATGCACATTCCCTTGAGTCATCAATACGAACCATACCGATCCTTAAAATAAAGAAAAGGGGGGGGGGGGGAGAAAGAAAGCTTAGCAAATTGGAAGCTGTCTAGGTGTGTGCACACTAAATCCAGTCCAAAAACAATCAGCTGAATATCATGCCAAGAGATACATTTCCAGGTATGAAAAAATAAGTCCATCGAGATGAGTTCTTGCTAACGGCCCTTTGAACTTTCAGCATTATGCAGGAAAGAAAGAAGCCTGACATGATTGAAGAAACCAATGTTGACTTTTAGTAGTCATGGCATTCCTTTTAAGTGTTTACAGACTTTAATGGTTCACTTTAGAATCTTTACTGGTACTGATGCCAGGCTAGGTGGACAGTAATTGCTTCAGCCCCAAACCCCCCCCCCCTTTTTTTTTTTTTTTTGGAAGATGGGCACAACATCTAACTTCCTCCAGTCTACTGGGACTTCTCCTGCTCTTCAAGAATTCTCAAAGGTTGTTGTCAGAGGATCTGAGATTACTTCTGCCAGTACTTTTAATAATCTTGGATGTAGATCAACTGGCTCTAGGCTTGAATTCATTCAGAGTAGCTTTTGACACAAAATAAATAAACCTCTTTGTCTATTCTATGTTGTGTTTCCCTCTTGTACTGTCTGTTCCGCTTCCCCCAGGTGTAACACTGTTTTCCTATTAGCATTTTGCCATCTTCTCCACATAGTGGCCCTGCCATTTCCTTGTTTTTCCCCTCAGCTGTGGACATAGCCAAAAAAGACATTTTAATTGTTTTTAACATATTTAGCAATTCTGACGTCATTCTGTGCTTTAGATTTTCTGACTTACTCTCTATACATATAAGCTAGTCTTCTGAATTTCTTTGGTTATTTCCCACTTTTTCCATTTTTCTACATGGTCCTTTTAAATCTTAACTCACTTTAAAGTTCTTCAGACATTGATTTTTTTCACATATAGATATTATTTGTTTTAATAAAATAGTTACTGAAGCACATTGAATTGCTCTTCTTTTTGTGTAGATCCTATCCCCATTCTTTCCATATTCTTTCTGCCTCTGGTACTAAAGTTTCTGTTAAATACCCAGGAAAACATCTGTTTCTTTAATTTAAGTATATATGTATGTTGTAAGCTGCTAACATTTGAACAAAAGAAAATCTGTAGAACTCACATGGTGATTCCAGCACTGTGACATTGGACAATACATGTTCAGTGGAGTACATTATATAAACCCACTTGCCATTCTTACACTGCACATACGTACTATTTCCCCATATCTCACCTGGAGAGAGTTCATCACACCATTGGCCAGAACAGCCATCTTGCCAGCGACGGATTTCACCCCTTGCTTGAACTGGGCAATATCAGCAGCAGGCAGTACATTTCCAATTGACACACCACCTATTAAAATTATTTATTTTCATTAAACTATTAGAATCTTGCCTGACATCTAAAGATCTCAGGACAACATACAATAAAATCAACTTGACCAATGTAAACATGGGATACCCTGTCAGAAGCAGCATAGCCCTTTGTCTCACAACACATTTTTTAAACAATGTAAACAACAACAATTGGCTGCTGTTCATTTTCCGGTCCCACTTCAAGGTGCAGGTTCTTACCTGCCTACCTGTGTGACCGCATCTCTGTTTACGAACCCACGTGATCTCTTCGATCATCTGGAGGGGCCCTGCTCTCGCTCTCACTCCTGCCCCCTTCGCAGGCATGATTGGTGGGGACGAGGGAGAGGGCCTTCTCTATGGTGGCCCCCCGAACTCTGGAACTCACTCCCCAAGGAAATCAGACAAGCCCCCAAATTGGCATTCTTTAGGAGCCTGAAAATGCGGCTGTTCCAGTGTGCCTTCTCTGAATAAAGGAAACAATGCCCTGTTCTGACCAAATCGCTGCCAAATGTCCTCAGAAGGACTATCTACCTGTTGGGTTGATCTCCCTACATTACCCTTTTAAAACCCCTGCTTAGATATACCCTACCTCTGTTCACGCCCAGTGTTTGTTTTTAAATTTTTAATCTATTACATCTGGCACGGCCATGGTGTTTTAAATTTTTTTGTGTTACTGATTATATGTTAGTTATATTATTTGTTCTGTTTTATTTGTTTGCTGCTTTGTTGTTTTACTGATGTGTTGTTGGGCTTGGCCTCATGTAAGCTGCCCCGAGTCCCCTTGGGGAGATGATGGCAGGGTATAAATAAAGTATTATTATTATTATTATTATTATTATTAAATCATATCAAACAATTTAATAAGTTAAAAGAAAACAGAAAATGAGCTATAGTAGTTTACTATGTGTGCATGTGCACAAAAGCAATTAATTAGGCCCCAAAACATTGAGCAAACTGTGCTGTGCCCCACCTCAAGCTGAAAGGAGAGGCAGGCATTAAATAATAATAATAATAATAATAATAATAATCGTTATTGTTATTATTATTGTTGTTATTATTATTATTAACCATGTTTTCACTTGGTGCTGGAATGACAGCAACGTTAGCACCAATTGAGCCTTAAGATGAGGCATTTCACAACTGATGCTACAGCAGAGGCGGCCTTCTCTTCCCACCAGCACATTGTCCTGATTGATAGGACACAGAGAAGGACCCCTCCAGCAGACCTCAATGTCTATAGGAAAATAATGATGACAGGATCATATCAGACAACTGCACTAGATTAAGAAGTAGCATTTCTTACAAAAACCTAGCCCACCACCTGCACACCTGTGTTCAGATTTATTCACAACATTTCATAACCCCAAGTTCAATTTAACTCAATCTTCCATACCAAGAGGCAAATGAAAGGAGTTGTCAAAACCACCTAGCTTCCCACAGCATTGGTAGAAGGACTGCACTAGTCCCTTGGCTACTGTCCCCCAACACAGGGCTCCCAATGAACACGTCTCTCAGACTGTTTGCTGACCTACCTGAGTTCACTGTCTCAGATTCTCCAAAGAGATCAGCTGAACTGATGGCGTTGCTGCCTGAAAGTTGCTGGAGTCGAGATCTGGCTTCATACTGGAAAACAGAAAAAAATGCAAGGTACAGGAAACTGTTTTGGAGGTGGCTTGAAGGAGACTAAAAGATAGAGAAATCACACAGAACTAACCTCAGCATCAGCTTCCCGTCCAAAGAACATATCAGATGAGATGGCTTTGGCCCCTGCAAACTTCTGCCGAGCTTCATTGGACTCCACTACCGATATCTTGCTCTCTGTCTCTCTTCTGTTAATGGGTCTGAGCAGAAGACAAGGGAGGAGACACTAAAGAGCATTCAGTACAACAGTAAAGAACATGCCTTGTGCCCTGCTTGATACAGACAAATACAGCCACAACTATGACAAATTGAATTATGTCAAACCATCTTCTCTGCTAAGAGACAGGCCATATACTTGTTCATCAACCAGCCTTTCCAATCTAGGACACTTTAGATCAATGGTTCTCAACCTGTGGGTCGCCAGGTGTTTTGGCCTACAACTCCCAGAAATCCCAGCCAGTTTACCAGCTGTTAGGATTTCTGGGAGTTGAAAGCCAAAACATCTGGGGACCCACAGGTTGAGAACCACTGCTTTGATGAATTGGGACTACAACCACCACAATAATAGGCATGCTGGCTGGGGATAATGGGACCCACAGTCTCAAAAGTAGTCTGCTTTAAAGAACAATTCTTGTCTTAAGTCAACAACAGCACATTCATTCTATCCCCTAGAAATTCAAATATTTAGTTCAACAAATTATTTATTTTTTCTCCATTTTACAAGTGTTTTGACTCCTTTTGTTATTTGGACAGTGCTCAGAACAGATGCACTGTGAAGCATAAAGGGGTGGTTTACGTTCAACCGCTGATTGAACAGTGACACCACATGCCTGTAAGGACTCTCTAGAAGTAAAGGTGACTGTATCTCATGCACTCTACCTGTCACCAATGGGCCGGATGCTGGAGATGGCAATGTCTGCCTCCTCTTCCCCTTTGTCCATCCCCCAAGAGGAGTTATCTGTCTCCCACTGTGAGCTGAAGGCATCGCCCAATGAAAAGGGATTATCCTTGTACCTGGAGAACAAAGAAGAGAGGGGGATTTATGCAAGCCACATGAAGAAGGATGAAGCAAGACCAAAGGAGTTGCCTACAAAGCTGTCTTACTTTGGTGGTCCAGATGTGAAGCTTCCAGTGTCTTCAAAGAGATCTAGCTGGGACCGTGTGGACTTTGCAGTTACTGGCGTTTCTTGTTCTATCACTTGCATCTCAGAGAGAACAGAGTGAGAAATGGAGCTGGGGAGGGAGTGGGGAAGCAGCACCAAATTAATGTCGAGTAGAACTCCATATATAATAATAATAACTTTATTCTTATAGCCAGCCACCATCTCCCTGAAGGGACTCGGGGCAGCTTACACATGGCCCAAGTGCCAAAAACAGAAGATAAAATAAAACACAATTTAAAAATACAGTTGAAAAAAATGTATAGACATATTAAATGACAACTTAAAAATTCAATTAAAACAGCACTCATCAACAGATACTTCCTCCTCAACACTAGCACCAGCTTGCTACATAAGGGACTAGATTTATTATCCTTATACCTCACTTTCCTTTAAAGACTCCAACATGGCAGGCACCAAGTAAAAGCATAAAGTTGAAAGCTGTTCTGGCATTAAACAGAACTGCTTGGCTTCAGTAAGGCTACTACACTTTTTTTATGGAGTGTGACTTGATCTAGGCCAGCTCATAGAGATCATAGTACAAACATATATAGGATTCTGACTGTAGTATGGAAAGCTTTGTCATTATTAACCCTATTCTCAGGGATGTCAAACACTCAATTTTATCGAGGACCACATCAAAGGGACAATGCCTTCAAAGGGACAATGAATCTATGGACAGAAAGGGACAAGTATACTTTTTTACCATAGTGGCCAACGCTCAATTTGGGCCCCAGATGTTACTAAACAACTACTCCATTATCCCCATATGGACTGGAGATGATGAGAATTGCAAGTCAGACATCATATTCACAAATAATAATAATAAAAAACTTTATTTGTACCCCAATCCATAACAACAACAACAACAACAACAATTTTTATACCCCGCCACCATCTCCCTGAAGGGACTCGGGGCAGCTTACATGGGGACCAAGCCCAACATACAGCAAAATTTACCAGCTGAAACACAGTTAAAAACATAACAAAATATAACAAACAATCTAATTAAAACAAGTGAAAATGGCAAAATATAAAAACACTGTAAAACTGTATCAAGCCAATCTCAACAATGCTCCATTTCTTCAAGGGGACTTGGAGCAGCTTATGGCTTATCTATATTCACCCCCACCCTGACTAAACAGAACAAACTACAGCCTCCCAAATGTTACTGTATCCCAACTCCCATCAGTTCTAGTCATGATGTCTAATGATGAGGAATACAGGAGTTGTAATCCAGAATCTAAAATGACACGGATCTGGCCCAAAGCCCTTGAGTTTGACACATGTACTGTATATCATGAAGAAGCCCTCTAAATTTTCTGCATGGTAGCTATGACAGTACTGCATATTCTTCTAATACATCTGGATTTATTACATTCTATAGGACTCTAATCCTATAGAATGTAATAAAGGGGCTCTGATGTAGTAAGACAGACTCCTTTGGAAAGACTGGGGCAGTGATACAGATCATATTCTCCAAAACAAGGCTCACTTTCCACAACTCACAGTTAACAGAATAGACTTGTGTTCCCTCAGCATGGTTTTCTAAACTACAATAGTCATATGTATTGAGACAGGAGAAAAACAGCTGCAACATGCACCCTCCTCTTGTTCTTTAAGAACAGCAAGTACCTCCTGGACACCAAGCCCATGCCCAGCCGCTCTGCCTGCTCACGCTTCTTCCCTTCCAGGTTTTGAAGTTTCTTCTCCTCCTTTTTCCGATCAATCTGCAGCTCCTGATACGCCAGTCTCATGGAGGCCACTCTGAAAGGGCAGCAATATCCATTAGCCATGGAGTTCAGATGGACTTTCTCTATGATACGTACACCTTATTCTCAATATCTCAAATTCTGAGGTTTGCACTTTTAAGAGGTTTATATAATAATAATAACTATTATTATTATTATTATTATTATTATTATTATTATCCTGCTACCATCTCCCAAAAGGGGCTCGGGTAGCTTACAAAAGCACTCAGTAGTGTAGCAAATATACACAAAATACAATAAAGTGCATAAGCATATAAAAATGGCAATGTAAATTTACATAAACAAATTTACATAAAACATGATATAAACCCCTGATTAATAATTAATCATGATTATTATAATTACTGATGTATTTACTGATATAAGTGGTATTTAAGCCACTGAGTTCCATCAGAAGTTGACCACAGAATCACACTGGAGGACCTGAAAGATTTCCTCTAGGAATTTCTTCCTGTGTCATTATGTATGTGTATCACTTTCAATGCAACAACAGGTCAATTTCTACCCAACGCTTACCATAGAGTTGTGTTGGGAGATTCCTAGAGAGACTAATGAATTAAATCAACCAAAGTAAAACACAAAATTGAAGAGGGCCAACTGTAAAAGAAACTGTGCAGTATCATGACATATCTGTGCAAAGAATTAGCCATTTAAAAATGCTCAGACTAGGGTTGAGAACCCTTTTATTTTCGCCTTCTTCAAAGCAGCAACTTGTCAGGCAAATAAATAGACCAATTTCTCTTTCTTTTAAGTTGTTACAGGTAGTTTCTACTCACAAGGATTCCTCTGCTTGCTTCTTGTACTCCGCAGCCTGCTGCTCCTTCAGTTTCTCAGCCACCTGTGCTTGACGTTCAATTTCAGTGAAACTCTGGCTGCTCACTTTTTGTGCTCCAAGGCCTTTTTTGGCACCCAGCTGGAAGAAGAAGAAGAACAAGAAGAACAAGAAGCATAATCAGGACTCCCCAAACCTCTTGAGTCATTAAAACCATCGCACCAGAGTTACAAGGGTATCTTAAAAGGAAGCTGTGCTAGGGGCCTCTTCGAAGAACCCAATCTAGAGTTTGTTTATTTAGCCATTTCCTGATCCATTTGAGTAACTCACTGCTTCTTGAAAAGGAAGGAAATAACAAGTGATAATTGTATTACATCATAAGGACTGCTAAATTGAGGTTTCACTGTTCCCTTGCCTGCTATACTGGAAGAAGGGATATGAATACTTGAAATGTTGAGTGTTTGCCTTGACACATACCAGGTTTCCCAATCTCACTTCTTTATATCCGCCCTGAGTCCCTTTGGGGAGATAGAGCAGAATAGAAATTTATTATTATTATTATTATTATTATTATTATTTTGTCATGGGAAACAATAGATCCACTGTGTGGTCTAGTGATCTGAGTGACGGTCTGGGACTCTGGGATACCAGAGTTTGAATCCCATTTAATAATTCATGTCCTCTGGACAACCTTAAGAAAGTCACATACTACGAAAACAGCAATAGCAAAACCCCTCTGAACAAATTTTGCCAAAAAAAAAAAAACCTAGAAAACCAGTTTATTTGAAAGGCGAACAGCAGTCACGGTCAACTGTAATGAAATCCAGGCAAGAATGAAACAGTGATCCTGGACAGACCATGAGGCCAACAATTCTCTGGATCTGCCTTTTCCAGATAAGAAGCTCACAGCTCTTAAGTGACCATATATTCAATAAACTTGAAACAGATGGATTTGATTTTCAGAGACAGCTAGACATGTTTCTTACCATCAGAGTCTGGTAAGAAATCTGACATTTTGTCAGTTCAGACATTTATAATAGCCATTAAGTGAACAATTCTCTGTTGAGAAATCCAAAATTATACTGTAATTCAGATCCAAAATTATACTGTAATAAAGAATATCAAATGATGAGTCAAATTCTGCCCATCTCAAAAAGGCACTCAACCTGAATTGATCATTTGCAGGCTCTGCTGTTGGTTGATTCTCTTGATCCTCAATTATTATTCCAAGTTGGAGCTTTTTGTACACTGGACTGAGCTTTATCTCTGTTAATGGAATCTAGATGTATTTCAAAACACCCCCAAGCCCAGTGCTTGTTTTTTCCCATTGCACCATTGACTGACACCATATTTTTGCCCTTGGCAGCTATTTATTTTTTATTTCCTGAAAATTTGCTAGGGACTGGCACCAGTCTAGAGACCCCCACTTTAAGTGGCACTCTCCTAGCCTATCCACTGTGGCTATGAGGGCTTTTTTCCACTTTGCTTTTTGCTGAGTCACCAAAACTCAGCAAAAAGCAAAGAGGAATAAGTGTTAACAATGTCTTTGGAGGTTAGAGTCTCTGCATTTCTGGGATGAAACTTGTTTGAGCTGGCATTTAGTGGTACAGGCTAAGTCATAAGCAGTCTAATGCCTCAAGTCTAGAAATCCTGTCAAAATACGTTTAAATAAATATGATTCGCTGTTATATCCAGTACTTTGTCAGCTTACAAGCATATCTCCCTCTATGAACCACCTCAGATATTAAGATCATCTGGGGAGGCCCTGCTCATGGTCCCACCTTCCTCACAAGCACGACTTGTGGGGATGAGAGAGGGCCTTGTCAGTGGTAGCCCTTCAGCTATGGAACTCCCTCCCCAGCAACATTAGATCAGCCCCCTCCCTCCTAACCTTCAGAAGGAAAGTAAAAACTTGGCTTTGGGATCAGGCTTTTGGAGAATAGTATAGTGCAATGACAGATATGTGCAATGACTACGGAACGTCTTTGGACTAGATTATGGATGGCGTGATTTATATTGAATGTAATGTTTTTTAAATGCTTAATATGTATTAATATAATTTTAATTTTAATGTTACTGGAATTGTATATGTTTTAAAGCATTGAATAATTGCCTATATGTAAGCCACCTTGAGTCCCCTTCAGGGTAGAGGAAGGCAGGGTATAAATAGGGTAAATAAATAAATACTTTTTTTTCTATTTTCCAATATTTTATAAACATTACAAACCGGGTGCTGTGACCATTGCCTAAATGATGACATCGTTCTCCATTACATCTTTAAGTGCTGTATAGACTTACAGAAGGTATATGCAGAATACAGAAGACATAAAGATGATAAAACAGGATATGAAATTTTCACTGGAATGCAATGGCAAAGTGTGACACCAAAGAATCACTGAGCTGTGAATGGACCAAGAAGCAAAACTCCCATGAGGAAAAAGTGGATGCTTGCAGTAAGAGAGAAACCCCCTTTAGGGGACATACCCCTTTCTTTGTAGCCCCAGGCTTCTTCTTTCCAATGAGGGAAGGTTTTATTTCTGCAACAAGAATAATGAAGAATGAGCAGGGTTACAAAACAGCAATAGATAAGCTGCTGTTAGTACTGACGCCTGCAGCAATAGTTTAAAAGTTGTACTGCACAGGGGCTGCTAGACCAAGTGTGTCATATGCATGGTTAATGTACCCAGCAGCAAAGCGCAGGAATGCACACCCAGCCTGACAGGCCACACCATGCAATGCCAGAGTAATCTCCTCTTGGGCCTTTTCTCCTGGTCAAGAAACAGCACAAAAGGTCATGCCAAGAAGCTGTGCTTCAGATAATATAGTTTAGAAAAGAGACTTCATTGCCCAAGAAATAACACGCCCTACAGTAAAAATGGCTGTGTTGGAATTCAGAGTTTGGGGGCATTGGATCTGTCCGTGAGAAGAGTCCAACAATAGAGCAACACCGTAGAGCTGTTTTCTGGGAGATTTCCCAGCAACTGCAGAGAACTAAAGCAGCTATCAGGTTAAGGGCCTCCCAACTTTAGCCACGTACTTCCAACTAGCTGACTGCAAAAGTGTAAAGAGAGCAGGATGTATCCCCAATCTCACTGGTGAGGATACATATAGCAACTCCCTTCTCATTTGGAATAAAAACAGGCAAACACTGGGCTGTAGCACAGAACTTCAGAAAGGGAAGGCAAAGGCACCACAAGTAGCCAGTGTAAGCTGTTAGCCAGTTACCTCTGGCAGGAGCAGCCCCTTGTCGAGACAGACACATGGATGCGTCTGAAGGGAAAAAAGACATGCATATATTGGATACTAAATTTAAACCTTTAAATGCATACTCTTTCCTCAAGCTCAAAGAAAAAAGGGCCCAATGGTGTGAGCTATTTAATTTAAAAACAGAACGACATGGATAGGGGCAGACTCTCCTTTTTGAAAATTTCTGAAGGTGGGGAAACTGTAGCTATTGATTTCTTGCTTTTCCAATGATTCTGGCTATGGGATCTTTGAATTCCTTCCCATACTATGATTCTATAGTTCTGCAAAGAAAGCCTAGTGGCTTAAATCCACCTACAGTGCCAGAAGAATCAGATAAAGTTGATATCAGAAATGCTGATTATCCTATACAGCATCTTTAAATTAAATAGCATTGTTAATGGAAACTACCTGATGAAGTTGAATGGTGAGGCACTTCTGATTTAAAAAATACTTACCAAGAGGCCCCTTGGGAGAAGTGCTAAGTAAATCAATAGAAGGACCATGATCAGACTCTGCAATAAAAATATGCAAGTATGTTTTTTAAAATGGAAGCTACAGTTCCTTGGATACTTGTAATTGCATTTTAGAATCACTAGAGCAAAGTGTGGAATATGAATTCCATGGGCTTCGTGGAGCCCCCGGTAGCGCAATGGATTGAACCCTTGTGCCGGCAGGACTGCTGACCGATAAGCCAGCAGTTCAAATCTGCAGAGAGTGGGATGAGATCCCTCTGTCAGCTCCACTTCCCCGTGCGGGGACATGAGAAAAGCCTTGCACAAAGATAGTAAAACATCAACCATCTGGGCCTTCCCTGGGCAATATCCTTGAAGACAGCTAATTCTTTCACACCAGAAGTGACTTGATTGTGTTAAAAAAAAAAGTATCCAACTCCAACTGCCACAAATGCCTCCATTTTTCTGGTTTCCAGTACAATATGGCTACAAGAAGTGGCATGTTGTTGCCCCCTCCCCTATTTTGGAGGCAAGAGAGGAAAACTGAGGTATTTTGGTGGATGGGGGTGCAGCTCATGGGGAGTCAGGGCAGGAAATGGCCCTAGTTCACATGCAGTTGCCCATCTCTCTATTAGAGGTCCCAGCCTCTTTTTCCCTCTTGAAACTGGTGTTCTAGGTATATTGTTCATCTCTAACAATACCACCATTCAGAAAACACTGGAAGTCATATTGACAAAACAATTGACTTGTAATAATAACCCTCCTTTTTAATAAAAAACAAATTCCCATCAGAATGTTAAAAATTCCTGGGGAGATGCTATGGCATGCATCAGTCAATAAAGCAATTTCCTTTTCTCCTTTAATCATACTACGTCAAAGTTTTAATCACTATCCATTTCCGACTCAAGCCCGTTTCCATCCACGCCTAGGGAGATGAAGTGCAAAGAAAAGCTAAGCATTTGCTTTCAGTAAAGATACTCACGTGGGGTTTCCTCACTGCTTTCAGGTGGTTTAGATACTTTCTCCAGCTCCAGTGAAGCTTCTGTCATGCCCTGGCCTATCTCAGTCACGTCCCATGTGTTACAAGGCTTAAAAGAAAATGAGCCAACGTTCAGGAAGAATCAATAATGTTGATAAACCATCATAGTTAGATCACCACCCAAAGGAGCAATTGGGTAATTATAAATCCTGGCTTAATGAGGTACTAATTTAAAATGAAATAAACAAGGAGCTAGCAATTATCATCAATGTCCTTTATATGCTCCAAAGCAATCACAACATAGCTCCTGAGAAATAGGGGAGGCCACCACACTGTATATACAGGGTTCTTTAAATCCAGTAGTATTCCCTGGATGGTTAACAGCTGCACAGTTATACTCCCATGACAAGGCCCCTGGGACTAGCAATACTGTTCTATAAATATTTACCCAGAAGTGCCACTTAAATTAATGGGGATTCCAGCTGAGGGGTCAAAACAGAATCTTGTTTCTATCCCACAGAGGAAGCATTCCAGACAAAAAAGCACATTACTGCCCTGTGCAGTAACTGCCTCTTCACAAGTATGGATGTGTGCAAGCTCCTAAGCCCTGCAACAAATATCACATCCAGATTCCTAGATCTTTGCACATTGAGTATGAGGTCTATATACACGTTACAGCTAAATGTGTAAGATTACACAGCTTTTCTGGCCATGCAGAGGCGTCTTGGAAACTTACAAGCAGGACGGGGGGGGGGGGGGGGGAACAATCATCTGCTTTGCTTCTACTACTATAAAGGATGACTATATAATATGGGAAGTTATATGGAAAAGCATAGATTTTGTGAGCATTCAGCACCCAATGTCTTCAGACAGATTCTTGAAATAGCAACTCTGCCTGAGACACGCCAGCAAACCACTGAGCAAAACAGACCACCATTCTGACTCAATGTGGCACAACTTCATATATGTCAATTAAGTCCACAACTTTTGGAGAGCAAACCTAATAAATATGCCAGACCCATACAAGATTAATTATCCAAACTGATTTTGAACAACAAAAACCAGTTTTTAAAAAAAAAATAATAATAATAATCAATTCATAGTTTTATGCAATGCTCCCAGATAAGCGATCAAGAAACCCTGGAAGAAAGTGAATCTCCAGCCTGATGCCTCTTACCTGTGTATGTTCTAGAAAGAAATCAGCATCACTCTTTTCAGGGGAGTGGCCTGGAGTTCCACTCAGCCCATCAATTAGAAGCTGAAACAGGAGAAGATGACCCAATGAATTTACAGCAAGCAACATGATCCTTCTTCCATTCTAAGGAGAAACTGCCTCATCTGCACTTACATCATTCCCATACTTGGCCATGGCAGCACTTGCCAGCTGCCGGATTTTCTCTCGGTACGTCTGAGCTGCACGGCTATTGTACTTGGCACTGGCATCTGTGGTGGTGCAACCATGCTGGCGGAAAAAAGCAATCTGGACAAAGGGGAGGAAATGCAATTTTGACTTTAAAAAATTAGTCAAAGAAGTGAACAAATTCCTTGCAACTAAAGAACCCAATTCCAGTCATGTAGCTGCAATGATTTAGTATTTCACTGGAATTCATCAACTTGTTTCACTTTATAGATCGACAGCTTTTGGGGTACTTTTTCAAGAACACAATACCAACATCTCCCCCAATCATGGCATCCTTCAAAAAAGTACATGCCCCAAAAGTCCAAGCCTGTAATCAAAGAACAACTTCAAATGGCTCCTTACCGCATTAGCATTACTTCCCACTTGCATACATCTCAGCTGAAACCAGGTCCAACTGGAATCAAGCTCTGTAGATCTGGCAAGAGAAGAAAAGTTGAAATCATGGTTTCAGATCAGAGTCAAAGATTTGTTTCATCTTGAATTCAAGGTGTTGTAAAGACTGTTATTTAGCTACTAAAGTGTTCACATTAGGCAACACATGGATGAACCTATTATTTAAATATGCCTAGCTATCTTGGATCACAAACTTTCTTCTCTACCATAAAAGATCAAATGCCAAACTACTAAAAAGAGATATGGCAAAGCCCCAAAAGAGCTACAAATTTCTAGACGGGTAAATTCATACATATCAACAAACATGAAAGCTGTTTGTTAAATAATACATTATATTCTTCAGCACTTACTGAAAAGCATTTCACTCTCAGTAATACAGCATAGACCCTAGGGTTGTTGACAGCTACTTCATATCAACTTCTTATACATGTTCTTGCAAGTTTTGTTTAAATCTACTGTCTATATTTCAATAAGAACATAATTAACGTAATTATATTGGGCTCTTAGTATCCACAGGAGTTTGGTTTGATAATTGATAACCCCACACAGATAAGAAAAAAACCAAATGCTCAAGTCTCTATTAATGAAATTGTATAGGACACCAGGGGAGATGGAACCAAGTGTCAGTTGCCATTCTTTGGGCTACCTTCCCTCTTAGAGCATGCCAGCCACCCATGTATGCCTTTGAGGAAGCAGCTCCAGTGCTTCTGCTTGTCCCTTGCAGGACAAATGAGCAGGTTCACCAGAAGCAGGAGAGCCTGAAGAATGGAAGCCAGGACTTTGTGCTGCCTCCACTGTTGCCCTACCTCTAGTTCATGGGAGTTATTTTCTGGTGTAGAATGGAGAAATAGGACAGAACCTTCAGAGAACCCGAGTTCCTGCTGAAAATGTTGTGGCCTTGCCTTGCACATTTATTTAAGTCCAATAATTCAGAGGCACAAGAAATTGGTTCTCTGTCACCCATGATATTTGCCCTCATCTCAAGATTCCATTTATCTCGATATGGTCCAATCTACTGTAAGACACCTAGAAATCAATCTTTTTTAAAATTTTCACATTTCTGTCACATGATCTAGCAATGAGAAGAGGTTTATACAAATCCAAAATGCCTTAAGTCTCAAGAGGATAAAGGTCTTCTATTTACATGATTCAATTCAAACACAGAATTTCACTTCTATTCATTAAAGCTGTGAGAATTTTAAACAGAGAAGAAATTTAAGGGTTAAAGAGATTATGCTACAAGATCAAGAAGTAGAGTTAAGTAGAAACAGTGCAGGTACTCTTGCCATCTTTATCTGACCTACTTCTGGGACACTAAGTGCTAGCTTTCAATCTCCAACAACATAGTGAAACGAAACAAGTAAATAGATATAAAAAAGGACAAGCAAAAGGATCAAGAGATTGATTCAGTTCCTTATGTGGAAAGATCAAGTCAGGGTTATTCAGCTTAGAAAAAAATGTAAGGAGAAAAATCAGGGAAAACAGACACTAGCTACAGCTCCATACTTTTGATGCAGAATAAATTTATCAGTTAGTAGCTACAACTACTGCAACATCAGGTACTGTCTCCAAACAGAAGTAAGGAAGATTATTTTCCTAATAACTGTAATAGTTATGTCATGACATTCTAAGTTTTGTACAGGTAGAAACATGTAAGGCATTATCTATAACGTAAAACAAAATAAATGATGTTACTGAAGCCAAAACGTTTCATATTCTTTTTAAAAATTCTACTGAATCAAGGCATGTTTTGGACAAGAAACAGATTTTAGCATGCAATAAATGTACTAAATTTAATTGAATGTCTTTTTATTGGACTCTGATTGGTGATTCTCAAGCTCAGGTAGAGTTCACAAACTTAAGTTCCTCCTAGTAAACTTTGTTCTCTATTCCTCTAATGGCAAAAACCAACATTTAACCATCCCCTTTTTTTACATCATAATCAAGAAGGATTTTGGTATAACAAATGTGTATTTACTATGAATCCTATATCAAAATTAGGATATGAGGAGGATTTTGCTATTGTTATGTTCCTCAAAGATGAACTGACCAAACATGTTAAAATGGGCAAAAGACTTCAGAAAACATGTAAAATCAATTCAGTTACAATCAGACAAAATGCTGGAGACATACAGTAAATGAAGGCAACCACTTGTTCTCTAGACCCTTGCTCATCCTGGCTAACTAAATCAGCCAACAGAGGTACTCCTGGTCAGCCAGAAAGCAGATCAGGGTATAGGGTTACAGCCTTGAAGAGAGAGGTTCGCAAGTTGAGGGTGATCCTGGATTCACTGCTGACTTGGAACCCCATTAAAACTTGTGCGCCAGCCACACCCGTACCTTGAAACCCCAGACTTGGCCATGGTAGTCTATGCCTTAATCACATCCCGTGTGGACTATTGCAACGCTCTCTACGTGGGGCTGAGAATAGTTCAGAAGCTTCTACTAGTCTAGAGACTGACAGCCAGGTTACTAACTGGAGCACTATATACGGAGAGAACCACTCCCCTGTTACGGCAGCTCCACTGGCTGCCGGTCCACTTCTGGCCTAAATACAAAGTGCTGGTTATTACATATAAAGTCCTAAATGGTTCGGGCCCAATCCGGCTCAGGCACTGCAGTCTGCGGAGGAGGCCCTGCTCTTGGTCCCACCCCCATTTCAAGTGCAGCTGGTGGGAACGAGAGAGGGGGCTTCCTCCATTATCACCTCCTGCTTCTGGATCTCTCTCCCCAAAGAGGTAAAAATGTCCTCCACCTTCCTCTTGTTTAAAAAAACTGAAAACACAATTATGTGCTTATGGAGAGGAGGAGGAATAGAACATCATGTATTATATGTTCAACTGGAAACAGGCTGACCTACCCTGGCTTGTTGAGCTGCAGTACTTATTTAATAATTTTAAATTATTTTAGTTCTATTTAAATTTAGTTCTATTTAAATTACCTTTTGTGTGGCACTTAACCAACTATAGCACTTTAACTGACTGATAAGTGACTGATACATCTNGGGGTTGGACTGGATGGCCCAGGAGGTCTCTTCCAACTCTTTGATTCTATGATTCTATGATTGATTCTATGAACCAGCTTCTTACCTTCATATCAGGAAAAATCAATGGTGCCATGTGTATCTATAAAGTATGTCCTATTTGGCATCGTTCTCTTCCCTTCTCCCCATTTATTTTGTTTCCTATATTATTAGAATTCCTGCTTTTCTATTGTGGGAGAGGGCAGTGCTTACTAAGGCCTCATTCCTCTGGAAAGCAGTCATCGGGGAAGGCTGAATGGCATTTTGCAAAAATGATTCATTTGCAGATAGACGCATTGAACAGAGCCGGAGACAAGCAGCCTGCCAAGACTCACTGTTCCCACATCTGATCCCCAGGAAGACAACTGCTGCCCCAAATGTTGTTGGCTAACGAAGTCAGTTCTCTAGGCTTCTCTTTTCTGTCTGACATAGACCAGCAATCTTCTATTCTTTGCAATGTACAGACTTTTTGGTTTCCCTGAGGGCATGACTAGCCACCTCCAGATGTTGTGGATTAAAATCTTCCATCAGTTCTAGCTAGTGATGTGGGATTTGCTGTCTAAAACCATCTGCAAAGCCACAGCTGCTCAAAGCTCCTCTAGTCTAGAAAAGAAGGTCCTCCAAATACTATGGGGAAATCTTGACCACATTCTGATGTGGCTTGGCCACGTGTCCCAGCCTTCATCCATGAAATCTTGGTGCTGTTGAACGCCAGATCTGTCAATGGTAAAACAACTTTCATCCAGGATTTAATCCTGGATGAACGGGCAGATCTGGCGTGCATCACAGAGACCTGGCTGGACGAAGCGGGAGGTGTAAACTTGACCCAGCTTTGTCCACCTGGGTTCTCTGTGCAGCACCAACCGAGATCCGGAGGGCGGGGAGGCGGAGTTGCAGTGGTCTATAGAGATTCCATTCTTCTGACCAGGGCCCCCATCCCGCAGTCAACAAATTTTGAATGCGTCCACCTGAGGGTGGGTGACCGGGACAGATTAGGGATTCTGTTAGTGTACCGTCCACCTCGCTGCACTACAGTCTCCCTACCTGAGCTAGCAGGGGTGGTCTCGGACCTGGCATTGGAGTCCCAGCAGCTACTAGTGCTGGGGGACTTCAATGTCCACGCCGAGACCGCCTTATCGGGAGCGGCTCAGGACTTCATGTCCACCATG